CCTGGGGTGTCTCCACGGGGTCGCTCTCTTGGGTCTCCCTTGGCCGGTGGTCCTGGTCGGGGGCTGGGGCGGCCGGACCGGAGGCCAAGGCGGCATCCTCGACGGCCCGGTCGGGATCCGGCACCCAGTCGCTGGCGCCGGAGAGGCCCTCGTCCAGCCGCGAGAAAGGCAGGCCCCTCTGAGCGGCCTCGGCCTCCTCCCTGGAGTCCCGCTCCCACGCGGCGCCCGCCGGCTCCTCCCCCTCCACCTCCTCGTCTTTCAAATCCCCGAGGCCTTCCGCGTAGGCCTCCAGGACCGTGGCCAGGGGCACCTCGAAATGCGGGTAATAGAAGAGGTCGTGGGGAATGACGGACACTTTGGAGAGGGGCGGGGAGGGCTGGAAGCTCAGGCTCTCGTCGCTGGGGCTGCCGAGCGTCTCCAGGCTGACGCTGCCGCTGGGCGGGCCGGAGGGCACGTCCCCACCCGCCTCCTGCTCCTGCGGGCCTGGGGCTTCCTCTTTGTCCTCGTCTCCAGGACGGGCGGACTTGCCCTTGGCCTTCTCACACCGCTCTGGCTCTCCGCCCAGCGGCGTCGCTTCGGGGGCCGAAGAGGAGTCTGGGGTGCCCCGTCCAGGGCCCTCGCGCGGCTCGAGCCCGTCCGCGTCCACTCGGGGCTCGGGGGGGCCCCGCTCCCTGTGGGCAGTCTTTGCCCTCCGCTTGCCGCGCCTCTCAGCGGGATCCTCCGGCGCCTGGGGCGCGGTGGGCGTCTCCTCACGGGGCGAAGGGTCTTCGTCGAAGGCCTGGCTGGTGGAAGCGAAATCGACGAGGTCGCTGTTGAACTTCGAGGCTTTCAGGGGTATGCCCTCAAAGAAGTCTTCCTCGTCCATGGCGTCCACGGTCTGCAGCTTGACCTGGATCTCCCAGGACTCGGCCATGATGGCGTTCTCCCCGGGAGGCGAGCGTGGGCCTTCCTCGCCGTGGCCGGCTGCAGCCTCGGAGGAAGGAGACGGCTGGGTGTCAGGGATCACACCTTCTGCCCACGAGACGCCGTCGTCGGGGGCCTCGCCCGAGGTGGCATCTGGCAGGCCCGAGGACGCCTCTTCCAGCGCTGCCTTTTCGGCCACCTCGACGGCCAAGCCGAGTCCCTCCAGCTTCTGCGAGTCCTTCGGCGCTCTTGGGCGCCCTTCAAAGTGGAAGTCCTGGCCGTGGGAGGGGTCTTGACTGCGGGAAGTATCCTTGAAGGCGTCCGTCTCAAAGTGAACCATTTTCTTGACTGGCAAGGAGTTGGACCGCCGGCTGTCCTTTCTGGACGACAAGATGGAAGATTCTGAAGACAGCTCACTGACACCGGAGGTCTTACTCGGGTCGCCCTGGAGGACCGGGTGGGCAGCCTGGTCCATGTCCTCGGAGGAGCCGGTGGACCCTGCCTGGTGGGAAACACCACCCAGGCAGAACTCGTGCAGGTTCTCGGGCTTGTCGCAGACAAAGACTTTGGAGGGTGGCGGTTGACTGGTTTCATGGTTAACGGTGTAGGCACGCTCTCCATTTTCAGTCAGAACGAAGACTTTGCTCTCCTGCTCAGAAGGGGTTTCTTTGATCCGGACAAAGGTCGACTCGATAGGGATGTCCTTATCCGAATCCAAAACGTCTTCCTGCAAAAAGCAAACAAACAGAGAACAACATGAACAGGATCTGTGTTTAAGTACAAGCCATGTCCACTTCAAAACAAAGCATTCCATTAAAAGGGGGATGGCTATGTGAAGACACCAGATAAATAAAAATATAGAATACGATGTTTTTAAAAAGCGACGGACATGGAGACATCTCAAGGAACCAAGCTCCAGGGAAGGGTGAGCCCTTCCGAAGGGAGCAGAGACTGTCAGCTAGGAAGTGGAAGGACCACTGCTCATCCGGCGAGGGATTCGCGGGAGAGCGAATCTGCCTGAGGTGCAGCAAGGCAGCCAGAGCGTCACTGAGCACGGGAGCTGGCGTGAGCGCTGCATCTGGAAGGGCTCCAGACACGAGCCAAGGCACCTCAAAACGGAGACTCCTGCTGTGCTCGGCCAGCTGGGGGGGCAGGGCTGAAGAGCAGGGCATGACCTTGGTGGGACTGTACCACTTGGTTCCCAGTACACAGATGGGGAGAACTGACCCCCTCCTCAAAATATGTGAAACCCAGAGCAGAAATTAAGTCAGACAGCAACACAGCTCCTGTCAACTCCTGAGATAGCCAGAACTATCCACTCCTCATCTCAGTGCTTGCTAGGGAAATGGCTATATTCTGAGGCAGAAAATGTTATCCGCTTCCGTCTCTACTGTCATCAGGTCTGGCCTAAAATAAGGAATTTCAAGACAGGAAGAAGCAGGAGAATAAAACCCGCAATCAAGAGAAGCAACAGTGACTAGAAGCAGACCCACCTATGGCCCAGGGTGAGAATTAACAAAGAACCTAGAAGAACTATTCAATCTACACTACAAGAAATGTAATAATGTACTCGTTCCTCAGGCCACGTCACAGATATGAAAACTGGATCTGTAGGAGGGAATGAAAAGTACATGAAAAGATTTTCTTTTTTAAGCCTAATGACTACCTAAAGTGAAAATAACAAAATACTGAGGATTAAGACATATGTAGAAATAAAGTAAATGATGATAGTAGCAAAAGGAATGATGACAGAGTGAGTGGGATATTATATTGCTGCCTAAAGAGAGATAAAATATCAGCTAGGCATGGTGGTGCCCGCCTGTCTATATTTCCAGCTACTCAGGAGGCTGAGGTGGAGGATCACTTGAGCCCAGGATTCAAAGCTGCAGTGAGCTACGATCATGCCCCTGCACTCCAGACTGGGAGACTGAGGGAGACTCTGCTTCTAAAAAAATAAAATTAAAAAAATGTAAAATATACAGTATACTTGAAGTAGTATAATACCAATTTAAAGTAGGTTGCGATATGATAAAGATGAGTATTATAATTCCTAGAACAACCACTAAAAAGATAAACCAAGGAGATGGTGGCTACAAAGCCATAAAGAAGATAAATGGATAATACTTGAATAAGCAAAAATAGTACTTGAATAATCCAAAAATAGGAAGGATAAAGGAACACAGAACAGACTGGGCCAGCAAGAAACAATAGTAATAATAATAAAAGGACAAAATAAGAAAAAAGAACATAAAAAGAGAGAAAAAAAGAAACACAATAAGATGATAGATTAAACCCATATGCATGGATGAAAAACACACCCATTAAATGACAGAGCTTTTCGGAATTAATAAAAAAGACCCAACTACAGACTGTTTACAAGAGACATACTTTAAATATAAGACAAATACACTAAAAGGAAAAAGATGGAAAGCATACATCATGCAAACATTAATCATAAGAAAGCTGTTATAGCTATTTTCACATCAGACAAAGTACGTTTCAAGACAGACACACATTGTGTAAAAATCAAGCACTCAAGCCAGCAGAGGGTAGAACAGTCCTAAATCAACATACATGTAGCAAAGACAGACAGAAAGAATTAAGAGAAGTAAGCAAATCCATGGTCATGGCTGGAAATCTCGTAACATTTCTCCCCTGCACTAAAGGGTAGGAAAAGTAGAGAAACAACCCGCATATAAACAAGATATTAGGACAGCATATTGACAGTACGTTCAAGAATGCCAATTCTTGGACTGCATGAGACACATTCAAGTGCAGATGGGACGTTCACCAAAAAGAAACCACATTTTGGGCCACAAAGGTAGGTACAATGTCTGACTTCTGGTCGGGGCTCCAGAAATGGGGACTGAAATAGGAACAGACTCAGCTGAGTTGTCAGAACATGTCATCGGCATTCCTTGCTGGCTGGCTCCACAGAGATGCCCCGCGCTCTGTGGACCAGGATGACTTCTGCAGGTGGCATCTCTGGACTCTGACCCCAGCACTGGGAAGATCCAAGTGTCAGATCTGCTGGATTCTAGCTGAGGCTTCAGCCGGTTGAACTAAAACTCTGCCGACAGTATAAGAGTCCAGGGTTCATGGAAGCTCTAGTGCCTAGCCTTTCCAAATTTAGTAACGAACCAGGAAAACTGCATTGCAAAATACTAACAAGCGCCGCTTTTTAATTCTTTTCCTTAAACAACACAAATGTATTAGCTTACAGTCCTGGAGCTCCGAAATCAAAACAGGTCTCACTGGACTAAAACCAAGGGATTGGCTGGGCTGGGTTCCTTTCTTTTTATTTTACTAAATTTTTAATTGATAGAATAATTATGTATATTTATGGGGTTCAATGTGATGTTTTGATGCATGTATATGTTACCAAATGATCAAATCAGGATAATTAGCACATTTATCACCCCCAAATATTTACCATTTCTTTGTGGTGAGAACATTTAAAATCTTCTCTTTTCGTCATTATGAAATATATGATACATTATTATTAAGGGATCTCACATTATCTGTCTCTTCTTCGGACCACCCTGAAATTCGGGCAATCTTCCCACGATACAGATGACATCTGCTACAGATGTGTATCAGAGAGGACAAGTAGACAACCCAAGGTCACACAGCTCCAAATGGCAGAAGTGGCATTGTAGCACAGGGATTTCTGCTTCCAACGCACCCTGGCAAGGGTCCTGAGATGCAGGGACAGACAGGAGACACACACAACACACACACACACACACACACATTGGGGCCATCACAGAAGCCGCAGCGTAGAGGACCCTATCCGGCTCCTCTGCACCCAATAGGGTCCTAGTTTCAGCTTTATGCTGTCGGGGACCTCAGGGCCTGAACTCTGGAGCCACAGAGACCTGGGGTCCAACCCACGCCCCCACCGGTTTTGGCAGCTGAGTGACCTGGGAGAGGTCTTTAAGCCTCTCCGAGCATCCTTATTCTCATCCGCGAAAAGAGGGCGACGGCCCCGAGCCAGCCGGGCTGCAGGAGAGCAGACAGCCCGCCAGGCACACGGGCAGGCCACGAGAACAGCCGCCCACCCACGAGCGATCTTCAGCCTCTTCTCCGGGCTTTTTTCTCCCTAGTACTTAGGACCCCCTGAAATGATGTTTCTGCCACTTGTCACCGTGTCTCCTGTTAGGACAAAGTTGCCAGGTGGGGCCCCCTCCGGCTAGTCTGCTGGGAGGCCTCGAGCCAACAGCAGGAATTTAGTAAATTCCTCGTGGTGGAGTAAAGGCTGTCGGGTTGCCCTGACCGTGCTCCTCTCAGGGCAGCAGGGGGGCTGGGGAGTTCAACGCAGCTGGGCACCTTGTAAAAGCCCTGGTTTAGCCGGGCTCGGTGGCTCAGCCTGTCATCCCGCGCCTTTGGGAGGCTGAGGTGAGTGGACTGCCTGAGACCGCGGGTTCGAGATCCGCCTGGGCAACTTGGCGAGACTTCATCTCTACAATAAATAGAAACAAATCAGCCGAGCGTGGTAGCACATGCCTGTAATTCCGGCTACTTGGAAGGCTGAGGCAGAAGGATCGCCAGCACCCAGCAGGTCGAGGCTCCCGGCCACCACACTCCAGTCTGGGTGACAGAGTGAGACACCAACTCAAAAAAATAAAAATAAAAGGCCTGGTTCTGCTACAGAAAAGTCTGTCCCCAAGTATAATCTGACATTCTGAACAGAAAGAGGCAGGTTTTCAGTGGTCACTGACTTGTGATTTTTTTTTTTTTTTTTTGAGTTGGAGTCTCACTCTGTCGCACAGACTAGAGTGCAGTGGCTGCTCCTGGCCACCGTAGCCTCACCTGCTGGGCTCCGGCGATCCTTCCGCCTCGGCCTTCCGCGGAGCTGGAACCACAGGCGCACGCTACCACGCCCGGCTAATTTTTTGATTGATTGTAGAGATGAGGTCTCGCCAAGTTGCCCAGGCGGATCACGAACCTGTGGGCTCAGGTAATTCCCTCACCTCGGCCTCCCAAAGCGCGGGATTACACGCTGAGCCACCGAGCCCGGCCAACTTGTGATTTTTTTAACACGGATGAGCCCTGGTGGCTGCTAACACGTTCCATCTGATACCTGACATGTTCCATCTGACATCCGATATGTCAAGCGACCAATCCCTGTGATAAGTGAGCGTCTTTCAACATCTTAAGTTTGGCACTGGCGAGAGGTTTGTAAGAGGTGTGACTTCCCGTTCTCATTTTAAACTTAATAAATTTAATTTTTTTTCTTTTTTTTTTTTTTTAGAGACAGGTCTTACTCTGTCCCACAGGTTGGAGTGTGGTGGCACGATCCCAGCTCACTGCAGTCTCAAACTTCCGGGCTCAAGCGATCCTCCTGCCTCAGCCTCCCATGTAGCTGGGACCACAGGTGTGCACCCCCATGCCTGGCTATTTTAAAAATTTTTTATAAAGATGAGTCTCGCTATGTGGCCTGGGCTGGTCTTGAATTCCTGGCCTCAAACAGTCCTCCCACCTCAGCCTCCCAAAGGGCTGGGATTGAAGTTGTAAGTCCCCGTGTCTGGCAGGACACGTGCCATTTACATAGAAGTTTTCCTTATCCAAGGATTCACTGTCTGAGGTTTCAGCCACCCACGGTCAACTGTGGTCCCAAAATATTAAATGGAAAAGTCTATAAATTCAGTTTCAAGTTGTGAGTCGTGATGAAATCTCTCACCATCCTTTGCTGTCCTGCCCGGGCCGTGGCCCGCTCCCTTGTGTAGGGTATCCACACTGTCTACGCAGCACACCTATGAGTCACTCAGACGCCCTCTCGGCGATCAGATCAGCTGACTGGTACCTCAGTGCTTGTGTTCAAGTCATATTCATTTTACTGAATAATGGCCCCAGAGTGCCAAAGTAGGGATGTTGGCATATTGCTATAATTGTTCTAGTTTATTCCTAGCTATGGTTGCTAATCCGTGTCTAATTTATAAATTAAGCCTTATCACAGGTATGCTGTGTGTGGGAAAAACCATTATAAATAAGGCTCGGGGCTACTCAAGGATTCAGGCATCCACTGGGGGTCTCGGAACAGGGGGTACTGCTGGAATTTTGCAACAAAACGGTGGGAGCCGAGAGGGACTTTGGTCCCCGCTGCCAGCCACACAGCCCAAGGCAGCCCACGCCCCCGCTCTGACGGCCTGCGAGCGCAAACGACGGCTTCCGAATCACAGGTAAGAAAAACAAACATACGGCTTCCAGCTCCGGGAAATGTTCTAGAAACTGGGCCACGTAGGTCACGATAGACTGCTCGTCTGGCGTGTCAACCATGATGTCTGCCAAGAGAGACACACGATTAGCAGGAGACACAGACACACACGTTTTCAACAGGGAGGAAATGAGGCTCGGGGGTGCGGGGGTGAATCCACTGCGGGATCTCACAGCTGCTGACGATCGGAGGGGCTGGGATATAGAACCCAGGGCTCCTCAGCCCCCAGGTCTGTCCGTTTCTCCCCGCTGTGTCAGCCCCTCCACGGTGGGCAACCAGCCCCCCGCTGACTCCACGGCTGAGGACGGTGAACCGGGCCCCCGGCACACACCGGGAGCCCTGAGGTCACCTGACCCGCGCGGAAAGCAATTTGACAGAGACCGCCAAACACCTGAAGAAGGTGGGGACCTGCCTCCTCCCATCTTGCCCGTGGGACCTGGCCCTTAAGGGAACAGTCCCGGATGAACGCTGGGCTTTATTCCTTAAAATGCTCACTGCACGTGTTAGGTTTAAAAGTGAATATATTTCACTTTTATTCTGAGACAACTTCAGTGTCCAGCAGCAGAGAAAGAGCTGACTACGTTTTATTATGCCCACCAGATGAACTATCCTGCCGCCAGTAAAAATCTATACTGGAGACATGATAGCAACGCAGAAAATACTTACGGCATATTATGACATCAAGCAAAACAAAAAAAGAAGCAAAATTATGCATAAGGTGAATGATACCAATTATGCAACCGTATAATACTTAGATGCATAAAATATTGGGAAAATATATGATCTGAGGGCTAGGAATACATAGGAGATAAAAAAGTCTTCATTCAACTTTTCCGTATTTTCCACATTTTCTACATGGACCGCAGGTGGTACACCTGTGATAAAAGTTTTAGAAAGAAGGGAGAGATGGGGGTGGTGGTTCAGGCCTGTAACCCCCACTCTTTGGGAGGCTGAGGTGGGAGGATCGCTTGAGCCCAGGAGCTGGAGACCAACCTGGGCCACACAGTGAGACCTAATCTCTACAAAAAGTGGAAAAAAAAATGAGCCAGGTGTGGCGACGCACACCTGCGATCCCAGCTTCTGGGGAGGCTGAGGCAGGAGGACTGCCTGAGCCCAGGAGGTCGAGGCTGTGGGGAGCCACGGTCCTGCCACGGCCCTCCAGCCTGGGTGACACAGTGAGACCCCCGCGGGGAAGGAGCGGGGGAGGGAAGCGGGTGAGCGCCGCTCTACCTTCGGGCTCCAGGAGTCTGGGGATGTGCAGGCCCTCCTGCGCGATGCTGAACGCCTTCTCCAGATTTTCTCGCGCGGAATCTTCCAGGGCCTGTTTCATGTCCACCAGGCTGGGGTCGATGGCCTTGATCACAGCCAGGAAGGCCAGCCCGCTCCTCCAGCTGCCCGTGAAGTCCTGCACCGCCACGCCATACCTGAAGGCAGACAGCGCGGGTGGGCCAACAGACGCCAAGGCACGCGGTCCGCCCGTGGCAGCCCCGCAGGCCGCCGTGAAGGGGAGGTCGGGAGCGGGCGGGGACAGGACGGGGCCGCAGACCCGCCGGGAGAAGGCGCCCAGCCCCTGAGCACTGAGGTGGCTGCCCGAGCCCCTCACACTTCAGTTTCCAGACAAGGGGTTAGGAGGGCATCCGTCTCACAAGGAGGCAAACGGGGCCGTGTTCCCAAGTTCCCGGATCCGTACCTGGACCCGTCGTCTATACCGTTTGCTTTGCAGTGACATTGAAAACGGGGCGAAGGAGAACGATTGTGTGACAAGACGGCACCAGAAAGACTAGAGCTGGAAGCTCCGCTGCGCCCTGTGTGTTTCTCACGCTGTGTGGCCTTGGGCCAGTCACACTCCCTCTCTGAGCCTCAAACACCTCACAGCCACCTTGCTGTCGCGGGGAAGCTGAGCCCGCGTGGACGCCCACGGCATATGGTTGACCCAGTGAGCAACGTCAGTAGCCCACAGAGGCCACTCACTGAGTGACAGCCAGAGACACTGTTACTAGAACCAAGTTATCATTTTGTTTTATTTTATTCTATTATTATTATTTTTTGAGTTGGAGTCTCATTCCGTCGCCCAGACTGGAGGGCAGCGGCCGCTCCCGGCCACC